AAGCCATTCCTTACAGGTCAGAGGGGGTTTCCATGTGCTACATGCAGGGGCTGTTTAGTGGGAGCAGTCTGCTCATATCAATCTGCTCATTCACATCCTTTAATAAGAGGACTTTCATTGAGTACCAGGTGCATGCTCTCTCCTTTGTCCAAGACCTATAAAAGGCTCCAAGGGCCAGCCAGATAGTTCAGTGGATTAAAGTGCCTGTTTAGGCAGACATAGGGACTGGAGTTCGATCTCAGGCTTGCTGTGCCAGCCCCGGGCCAAGAGCTGGAAATAGACAGGGTAATGGAACCTCTGCTTTCTAGGATGGAGGACTGACAACAGATCGGAATGGAGGGGTGCCATGAGAAATAAGTGACTGCTGGGGTCAGGAGGACCCGGGGGCGAATTTTCTTTATAGAGCTTGGGAAACGCCTGTTGATGATTTTGGTCATCATGTGAATGGAAATTGAGGATGGGCAGGGTCTGGGGACAGCACCTCAGGCAGAGGAAGTGGTGGGTGTAAACATCCTGGGCTCTGAGGCTTGGCGCTGTGACTGCACACGTGACTCAGGGGCCAGCAGGAGAGGAGGGCTGAGGGTCCTCAGAGGGCTGAGTAGGAGGGCTGAGTAGGACCTTGGTATGAAAGTCTCTTTTACTCTTAAATTGCAGTGGGATGCTTTGGAGGTCTTTAATAAGGGCTCTTTTTTGGTTGGTTGGTTGGTTGAGTCAAGTCTTACTGTACAGCTCAGGCTCTCAGTGATCCTCCTGCTTCAGCCGTCTGAATGCTGGAATCAGGCGTGCACTACATGCTCAGCAGGAGATTAGAGGTTTTTAAACACTCCCCCTTAGTATGAATGGCTGGAGCAGTGACACTGCCAGACAAGTTAGGAGAATCAGGATTGGATCATGGCAGTATCGCTTCTCGGCTCATGCCAGACAGAGAGCCGCCTTTCTAACAGCACTGCGTTGGAGTTATCCACAGAGGCATACTGTGGAAAACCTCACATCACACATTCCAGATTTAATTAGGATAATATGTGCTTCCCCAATGTTGATATGTTAAATATGTTGATATGTTAAACATATTGTTTAACATTATGTAATGTTGATAGGTCAAAGAGTAGAAGAAATAGTTTGATGATTTATTTCACATCTTAGATATTCACACTTTTAATAGCTAAAATTATGGTAAAATTTAACATTTATGACTAACCATTTTTGGTGTGTCATTAAGCATATTCACAATATTATGCAACTAACACCAAAACCCATATCCAGAACTTTTCTATTACCTCAGAGGCTTGGTGCTATTGATAAATTCACCTCTTTAAAAAATTGAACATTGCCTGAATGTTCACGTCTCATCCTAAGCAAATTTAAAAACAAATTTTTGACAGTGCTTTAAGTCACAGAATATCTAAAATATATAGCTACAACTTAAAAAAAATAAAGCCATCTTGCACAGTGGGAAACAGTATATTGCTAGTACCTCAGAGCCCTTTGTGAGCTGCATTAACTGAGCTTACCTTCAGGGAAAACACTGTCTTGAATTTCATGATTCCTCTGCTCCTATGTACTCTTGTGATTTTTTTTTTAACCCTAATATTTTGGGGGAAATTTTCCTACTTTTTGAGATTTGTTTGAATTGAATTCTATCGTACCTATGCTTCTGTGACTGATATTATTCTTTTAAAAAAATACAGGGCCAGGCATGGTGGCACACACCTGTAATCCCAGCACTTAGGACGATGAAGTAGGAGGATCATTGTGAGTTTGAGGTCAACCTGGGCTGCACAGTAAGTTCAAAGCCAGTCTGAACTACAAAATGAAACCCTCCCTCAAAATTAAAAAATTCAGGGCCAGCCAGATAGCTCAGCGGACTAAAGCGCCTTCTTAGGAGGAGCACAATGGCTGGGATTCCATCCCCCCACGTGCTATGCCAGCCTCCTCCCCCACCCCAGGGCATGCTGAGAGGGGGAATGAGACTGGGCTTGGTGAAGCAAGCCTGTAATCCCAGCACTTGGGAAGCTGAAAACAAGAGGATCACTGAGTCTGATCTGTATAGTGAGACCCTATAGACTTTGTACTACAATACATTAAAAAAAAATTCATTTGCTTTCAGGTTTTACCATATTTCATTTTCCTAATTTGCTAGATTATTACAAATAAATTTATCACATTTATTCAAAAAGTTGCCTGAGCTCAGGTGCAATCAGTTTTTCTGGTGCATGGATGAGGGGTAGAGCAGTGGGCTTTTATGGTGTGCATGTGACCAGTGCTTCCAGGTACTTCCACTCATTTTTCCAAAGGAATGGAAGCAGACTTTAAGGATTCTCTTTTTCCATCCTTCCTGGATGTTGATCTCTATGACTTCTATATTCTGGTCAACCTAGGAGGGTGAAACATAATCTCACTGTGGTTTAAATGCACTTCTAGGACTCTGCATAAGATTGTGTTTTCATATTTACACCATTTTTGTGTTTAATCATCTATGAAATGTCTGTGCATATATTTTGACCATTATTCATTTGAATTGTGTCTTTTTGTATCAATTCATAGGCACTCTCTTTTCTTGGAAGGGGTTGTCTTCCCTTCCTCTTTACTGGGAAAAAAATGCCTGAGGCCCACAAGTTAAAGAAGGAAAAGTTTATTTTAGCCCATAGTTTGTATAAGTTTTATACCACAGTAGGCTGGCTCCAAGCAAAGGTAGCATTACAGAGAGGTAGGAGTCCATGATAAGGTAGGCAGGAGGCAGAAGGGGCCTTCCCTCTTTCCCCTTATATTCAGGCTACAAACTTATTGTTTGGTGCTGCTCAACACCCAGGACAGATCTTACCTCTTCAGTAATTCCATCAGCCATAACCATTCTAATCCAATCAGTAGACTAATCCATTTACCACATACCCATAATCCATATTCCCATACTCTACCTCTGGCTACCTCCAAAAGGCCTTATGAGAACATAAGACTTTGAGGGGACAGCTAGATTGTGAGCCATAACAGGGGGATATTATCTTTACGATGAGACATTACATTGGTACAGAAGGGCTCATAAAACATAAATGTGCTTTTGTTTTTCCTTGTCTTTTTGAGGCAGTGTCTTGCTATGCAGTTTGTGCTGGCCTTGAACTCAGTTTATAGTCCAGGCTGGCCTCCAACTCACAGCAATCATCCTGCCTCAGCCTCCTAAGTGCTGGGATTACAGGGGTGTGTCACCATGCCCAGCCATAAATGTACTTCTACTTTTTACTTATTTTTGGTACTGGGGATTGAACGCAGGACCTTGGGCTTGCCAGGTAGGTACTTATACCACTGAGCTATTTCCCCAGCCCCATAAGTGTACTTTTAAAAGGTAATTTAAACAACTATGTAACTACCAACTACGTTTAAAAAATTGCCACCACTCAAGAACTCTATTTGCTCCCTCTTATCACAGAATCTTTCTTTTCACATAGTTCCATACTGACTTTTGTGGCAATTATTTCATTGCTTTACTTTTGTTTTTGTCTTTTGGGGACAGGGTCTTGCTATGCAATTCAGGCTGGCCTTGAACTCAAGCTTATAGACCAGATTGGTCTTGAACTCAAAACAATTTTCCTGCCTCAGCCTCCCAAGTGTTGGGATTATAGGATTATGGGATTACAAGCATGCCCTATCATGTCTGGCTCCATTGCTTTACTTTTGTTGTTGTTGTTTTATTTTCTTTATGGTGCTGGAAACTGAATCCAGCCATGTAAAAAACAAATTTGCTTGTTTTTATATACAAAGTCAAAGTAACTCAGTAAATTCTGTCTCAGCCTCCCAGAGTTCTAGGCTTGCCTGAGTTCACCGCTATGCCCAGCTTCATTCCTTTTCTCAATAGTTACATCTGTAAGAATCATCCTGAACAACGTATTTTTAGTATTGTTTGGAATGTTGTAAAAATATTCACCCAGTTGATATTTGCTTAGCATGGCAAGCATACTGTTGTACTCAGCATTGTCAGTACTCATGTCTTAAAAACTTTTGCTCTGTTCTATAAATTCACTGATTATTGTATTGTTGATGGCCACTTAGTCTTGTTTCTAGTTTTAACAATACTAAGACCAGTGCTTGAGCAACACTTTTCTCTATACTATGTACATGCACAAGGAGCAGAACCATAAGAACGAAAATATGCGGATCTTCTGCAAAGGCTTGGCGGAACACATCTGTAATTATAGCACCTGGAAGGCTGATACAGAAGGATTGGGTGAGTTAGAAGTTCAAGAGCACCCTAAACTACACTGCCAGACCATGTCTCAAAAGAACAAAACAAAAAATCAAACACATACATACATCTTCAATCCTAACTTATTTTGTGTAGGTACATAACATTCCATTTTCACCAGCAGGGTACGAAATTTTTCCTTTTTTGCAGAACCAGGGATTGAACTCAGGCCCTTGCGCTTGCCAGGGAAGACCTTATTCCACTGAGCCATCTCTCCGGCCCCTTCTTTTTTTTTTTTTTTTTTTTTTAGGCAGGGTCTTGTTATGTAGTTCAGGTTGGCCTTGAGCTCATTTTGCAGCCCAGGCTGGTCTTCAACTCTCTACGATCCTCCTGGTTATTTTACGCGCCCTCTTGCACAAGCGTACTGCGCAGGCGTATCTCCGCCGGCTCTTAGCATCCGCGGAGGCGGCTTCAGATCCTCTACTGCCAGTGGCCGCTTATCACAAGGGGACGATCAAGGCTTTTCTTACTACTTTTTGCCTATAGCCTGTAATATCTTTAAGCGTCTGGTGTTCGTTAAGGTTTCTATCATTACCTATGGAAATGTAACTTTAATTCATTTCGCCAGGAAAGGGATTAGGGAAAAATAGCGAAATAGAGACCTCCCCTTCTTCCTCACCGCCCCCCCCCCGCCTTCCCCGGCCCCGCCCACTCCCCCACGCACAACACGCATGCGTGCCCGGTGGTGGCTCCAGTCGCGCACTGCGAAGTGCGCCTGTCCAGCGAGACGCCCCGCCCCCGGCCCCTATAAAACCTCGAGCTTTTCCTCGCGAGATACTCCGTGCTCATGCTCGCCGCCGGGGTCGGAGGTCAGGGCGAGCGTCTGGCGGGCAGAAGTAAGAAGATGGCGGTGGAGTCGCGAGTTACTCAGGAGGAAATTAAGAAAGAGCCAGAGAAGCCAATTGACCGCGAGAAGACATGTCCGCTGCTGCTCCGGGTGTTCACCACCAACAACGGTCGGCACCACCGTATGGACGAGTTCTCCCGCGGCAACGTCCCGTCCAGCGAGCTGCAGATCTACACCTGGTGAGGGCGGGCGGGCCGCTCTGATTGGTCTCTAGGAGGGTGGGCCTGGGGAGCGACCCCTGTAGGATACAGGATTTTGTTTTGAGGAAGAAGGGGGCTTGCCAACGTGCAACTTTAGAATTAACGTTGAGACCTTGGGGTTTTTAAAAATAAACATAACCGCCGGGCTTGATGGCAACGCCTGTAATCTGAGCATTCTGGGAGACAGAGGCAGGAGCATCACAGGCTTGAGCTCAGCCTGGGTAACTAAAAGTAATTTAGCGAGACCCTGATTCAAAATTAATACAAAAACAGAAACGGGCTGGGGATGTAACCTAGTGCAGAAATGCTAGATTCAATCACCAGTACTGAAGGAACAAAAAGAAATGCAGCATTCCTGTCACCATTGTACCTGCATGATAGGAAAAGGATATATGAGTAAAACGTGATAGTCGAGTAAATGATACTAAGCTAACACGATAAAGGGAGTGATACTGAGTGATGTTTATCAAAGGATATTTCTGCTTAGTATTAAGCCATAAGTGCCATAGCACCAAAAATATGGGCTAGAAAAGTGTGACTTCTGCAGTAGAACTTAACGCAAAAGCTTTTGGTATGTGTTTAGTGACAGCTGGTGTCCAAGTATTTCATCTCCTTGCCGATAGACTGCCTAGGACAGTGCTGTGTGGACCTGATCTTTACCTCTTTCAGTTGATGCTATAGATGGGTGGATTCTTAGCAGCAGTTAAAATACGTTTTTAGGGGAGATAGCTCAGTGGAATAAGCGCTTCCCTGGCAAGCACAAGGGCCTGAGTTCAATCCCCGGTTCCGCGGGGGGGAAAAAAAAACGTTTTTAAAATGGGTGCAGAGGGCTGGTGAGATGGCTCAGTGGTCTAAAGCACCTACTTAGAACTAGTTTAGCAAAGCACAGGGACCGCGGTTCAATCCCACAGCACCACATGGCAGCCAGCCCCGCCCCCTGGTGGGCTGAGCTGGCCACACACACACATAAATAAAATTAAAAAAAAATAAAATGGGTGCAGGGCCAGGGAGATGGCTCAGTAGAATAAGTGCTTGCCTGGCAAGCACAAGGGTTTGAGTTCAATCCCCGGTTCTGCCAAAAAAATAAAATGTGTGCATAGTTTTAAAATATTTTTTTTTACTAAGGTAAGACAGGTTACCTTCAAATTTGTCTGTAAACATTTTTGAATACTGAGTTAATGATACTAACATTCACATTGTTGCACAATCATTTCTTTCTCTTGTAATCAGTATTGCAAAAACCTTTTCCTCCCTCACAACTGAAGCATTGCGCCCATTAAGCTGTAACTCTGTTGAATCCTCTCCCCATAACATCTGCTCTGCTGTGTATAATAATTTCACTATAAGTAATGAAGCATGTAAGTAGACTCATTACAATATTTGTCATTTTGTGGCTGGGTTATTTCACTTGGCATGTATTTAGGTTTTGTCCGTCTTGTAGCACCCACTATAATTTTTTTTTTTTTTTTAACACAGAATAATCTATTCTGTGTGTACCCTCTATACGTCACATGGCTACTCTGTTCTTGGCCACTGGTTTCCACTGTTTTTTAGCTATAATAACATAACACTGCTGTGGAAGTCAAGTGTTGTGCAGCATCCTTGCTTTCATCCTTTGGGAGTATCAGAATGGCTATGTGGCTATTTTAATTTTTTGAGGTGCCAGCATCTTTCACAGGAGCCACAGGATTTTCCGACAAAGGTGTGTGATTTTTATACTAAAACTCAGTCCTTTTTTTTTTTTTTTTTTTTTTTTTTTTTTTTTTTTTTATTTATTTATTTTTATTTATTACATTTATTTATTGGGTGTGTGTGTGGCCAGCTCAGCCCACCAGGGGGCGGGTCTGGCTGGCATGTGGTGCTGGGGATCGAACCGCGGTCCCTGTGCTTTGCCAAGCTTGTTTCAAGTAGGTGCTTTAGACCACTGAGCCATCTCTCCAGCCCCTAAAACTCAGTCCTTTAAAGATGGGAACTTTGTCTTTTTTTGGAAGTACTTGTTAAATGCACATAGTAGTGTGATGTTCTCTCATTGTGAATACAATGATAGTAAAATGTTCTTAAGAATAGAAGTCCTAGTGTTCAGGGTGTATTGGAATAATTGAAAATAATCAGGATACAAAGTTTTAAAAAGTCACCTTGAAGACATAAAATTACTCTGACCTCAGAGTTTGTGCTCACATCAAGATTTATTGGTGATGAGATTAAAATAACTAAGATTAATTGTGGTTGCAGAATAAAACATGTTAAAAGTAAAAAGTAGACTCCACATTTGCATAAGAGGATGGTAATAAGAGTATCTGTTTTACAATGCCTATTTCACCCGTTCATGTAAAATTTAGTACTTTTTATTAAAATAGTTTTATGATGAATGGTATCTTAAATTTCTGTAGCCCTGTGTTGTGTCTGTATACAAAGGATGCATACAGTGATGTTAATTAACATCAGTGGGTACTCTTCATGGGTGAGTTTTGGGATATGATTTATTGCATGTGGGCGATGTCGAGTTGTGCATGCATATCTTCACCCCCCATTTCCATCCCCAGCGTAGAGTTGCTTTTGGGTCTGGAATATGTCCTTCCAAAGAGATGAAGAGACGTACTAGCCTGTCTTGGACATTTGTCCCTGTTCTAGGCTTGGTTTTGTTTGTTTTTTTGTTTTTTTTTTTTTTTTTTGGCAGAACCAGGGATTGAACTCAGGCCAGTGCGCTTGCCAGGGAAGCGCTTATTCCCTTGAGCCATCTCCCCGGCCCCCTGGTTCTTTTCATTGTGAATGCTTATTTGAAGAGTATTGCTTAGAAGCCACTGGGCTGAAGGAGGCAGTAAATGAAACCTGAATACTTACACCCTCACCAGGTGCTGCTTCCTCCAGTTCAGAAGCAGTCCTCCACTGCTGAACTCCATGGTGGTGGTGGGGCTCAATGAAAGCTAGCCAGTCTAATGCATGTGTAGGCAGGAATCCCATGGGCAGACACTTATAAACAGCCAATGCCAAACCCATTAGGTTTCCGATGAGATAAACCAAACCCTGAAGAAACTTCTGGCTTGAACTTTCTAGCATCTTGAAAGCTCCTGCCTTCTGTAGGCCCACTCAACTCAATGGCCCATTTAAGTTGTTGCCTTCAGTTGGCTACCAGGCTCCCCTGGACTATCATGGCAGCTGCTGCTTTTTAAAGTTGTGGGAGGGTTTGATCCCTGGGCACCATGTGCCATGCTAGCCCTGCCCCTGGGCATGCTAAGCAGTGACTGAGTTGGGCATGATGGCACGTGCTGGGGAGGCTGAAAACAGGATCACTATGAGTTCAAGCTGTGTAGTGAGACCCTGCAACAAAAAAAGAAAAACTAAAGCTGCCGAAAGGTATCCTTGTTGCTAGCTTCACCCATTCCACCCACAGGCTTTACACACTGCTGCTACCACCAAGATATCATTTTTACGCAAAGAAAAAAAGTTTAAAAATCTGAGGTCTAGGTGAGTTTAAGGTAGCATATACATGGTTAAAAGTAAGGAAAGGTTGAAATTGAGCACTAATAGCAAGCATGGGGAAAAAACAGATTTTATTAGCATTTAAAAAGTAGAAACAACATTACTTGTAATTTGGAAATAGGAACTGAACAAGTGTGGGGGATGATGTGGCATAGCTGGGTGATAGCATATTGAGCATATATGATTGGGGCCGGAGAGATAACTCAGTGGCATAAGCGCCTCCCTGGCAAGCACAAGGTCCCAAGTTTGATCTCAGGTACCACCAAAAAAAAAAAAAAAAAAGAAATTGAGTGTATATGATGCTTTCGAAATTCAGCAATCTCTGGCAGAGTGTGTTAGGGAGAAGACAGTTGTATTGTGGAAATAGTTCTGAGAAGAAATAGGATATAGAGCTAGAACTAAATGAGTTTACTGGTTTGATCTTTTTATTTTTTGTCCTCAATGTATATTAAGAGCTGTTCCATAAGTGTCTAGTATCCTTGTGCCACTTGGTTGCACTCTATGGACACTACTGACTTTAAGCTCAACCCATGTCATTTTCTTATTCTAGGTTGTAGTTACTTCTGAATATGTATGTTTTTTCAGATTGTAATATTAACTCAGGGAACTATTAAATATTAACCAAATGAACTATGTTCAAGTAAATATTTGTAGGGTAAGAATCTGTATCGTGAAAAGAGCCTGTAATTTTTCTATAAATTAACTTATTTAAAAAGCTATCGTGTACCTTTATGGAAATGCTTTCCTAGTATATTGAATAGAAGATGCACTCCAGTTTGGGAGATTCTAGAATATGGAAATGTATGTATCTTTGAGAAAATGAAAGTTACTTTGTATATTTTAATTAGTTTGAACTGTTTTTAAAAGGAATAACAAACCTTAGGATGTTACCTAGCAATAGAAGATAGCATATGGAATTTGTTGAGTTTTTGTTTTAATCTTTACTTATTTACTTATTTGGAACAAGGTCTTGATATGCAGCTCAGATTTATAGTGATTCTCCTGTCTCAGCCTCCCCAGTGCTGGGATTACAGGAGTGTACCTCTATAGCTGGTTTTGGTGGCCAGCTTGGCACAGGACCAGCATGGCATATGGTACCAGGGATCAAACCAGGTCCTTGTGCTTGCCAGGCAGGCTCTTAGACCACCAATCTATCTTTCCAGCCCAGAATTTCTGAAATTCTTTTTAGCAAGTCTGACTTTCTTCAGTGGGGGGTGGGAGAGGGTGCAGTGCTGAGGACCAACCCAGGGCCTGTGTGTCTTAGGGAAGTACACTACCACTGAACTATATTGCCAGTCTTAATAGTCTGGCTTTAACTTATCTAACATTCAGGGTAGTATATAGTACAGGGAGTATTTAGAAACAAATAGTATTGTTAGCTGCTTTTAAATTGGACTTTATGCCAGTGATACAACTCAGTAGCATAGTGCCTGCCTGGCAAGCACAAGGTCTGGAGTTATATTTCTGGTACCAAAAATAAATAAAATAAAATCAGGCTTTAGTATCGTAAGTCGCAATTCAAAACATGTCATAACTACTTGTTTTTCAATATTCTGGTTATATTATTGCTAATTAATTGTAATTGCCTTTTTTTTTTTTTTTTAAACATTCAGGATGGATGCAACTTTGAAAGAACTAACTAGCTTAGTAAAAGAAGTCTACCCAGAAGCTAGAAAGAAGGGCACACACTTCAATTTTGCAATTGTTTTCATGGATCTTAAAAGACCTGGCTATCGGTAGGTTACTCCTTTTGATGAGTCTCTTTAATGGAATGAGTGGTCTGTGGATTTATATTATCTTCATCTCTGGTTTAGCTTAATACATAGTCCCTAAGTTTTTGAACTGTGTTATGAGATAGAGCAATTCCAGACCTGTATTTATACTTAGTTCTTTTAGTAGATTTATAGTGCATTAACAGCTGATTTTCTTTCCTGCAGAGTTAAGGAGATTGGCAGCACCATGTCTGGCAGAAAGGGAACGGATGATTCCATGACTCTGCAGTCACAGAAGTTCCAAATAGGCGATTACTTGGACATAGCGATTACCCCTCCAAATCGGGCACCACCTCCTTCAGGGCGTATGAGACCATATTAAATTTTATCTTACTTTCTCTCAAATTTATTTTTCACCCAACTGTGTAAAATAAACGT